CCTTCCTTCCTTCCTTCCTTCCTTCCTTCCTTCCTTCCTTCCTTCCTTTCTTTCTTTCTTTCTTTCTTTCTTTCTTTCTTTCTTTCTTTCTTTTTCGAGACAGGGTTTCTCTGTGTAGCTTTGGAGCCTGTCCTGGAACTCACTCTGTAGACCAGGCTGGCCTCAAACTCACAGAGATCTGCCTCCTGAGTGCACTACCACCGCCCAGCTTAACTGTTTCTTTAAAAAATATTTTTCTTTAATATTATTTATGTCTCTGTGTGTGGGGGTCTGTGAACGTTAGTGCAGGTACCTATGCACATCACAGGTTAGATGTCCTGGGGCCACCTGATGTGGGTCCTGCATACTAAATTCTCCTCCTCTGCAAGAGCAGGGAGCACTCTTAGCAGCAGAGCCACCTCTGCAGATTATGGTTACCTGTTTCTTGATTGTTTCTTTCTCTGTGAATTTGTATTGAAAGCATGTGTAGGTTAGACTGTTAAATTGGATAAGCAGATTGAAGCCTTTGATCATACTCACTTTTTAATTATTTCAGTCACCAATGTTTGAAGAACTGGTTTTAAAATTTAAAAGATGTAGAAACACAGCACACCTTTGTGTCACTGAGTTTAAGACTTCCCAGGTTTTCTTAAAAAATGACTCAATATTCAGACTTGTGAATTTATAATTAAAATACTTTAAAAGTTGTGATATGAGAGCCTGTCATTTCTTACATGTATGCAAATAGTAACCCTTGTTTTAAAAATGATCTCACTAGTGTGTAGAAGCTGTAACTATTGCTTAGATAGAGGCTAAGAGCAGAACTGCAGTTTTCAGAAAATGGGGCAGCAGAGGATAGGGAAGGGGAGGACTGATTAACCAGCAGGTATCAGGTTATCCTTAGGCAACTACAGCCAAGTTCTGGTTTGACCCAACTTTTATATACAATTGTTAACGTTATTAAAATGTTAAAGCTTTAAATTAAAAAGATCATAATTGATAAGAATCAAGATTTTTCATGTAACTGTAATATGAAAATCATTTGTTATTTTAATATCATTGTTAAAAATGATAAAGTTGGTACATGTAGCTGCTTTGACTTAACAGCACAAGTTTCCTGAGCCTGCCTCTTAGTTGTGTGGATGAGACTATTAGCAGGAATGTGATGATCAACACCTTCTTAAAAAGTGTCCATTTCTGTACTGACTGAAAAGCTCCTGAAGCCTGCCATCCTTATTTATTGGTTTTTCTAGTTTAAGTAAGAGAAATACAAAAATGTGGAGTGGTGCTCTACTTTTCTCCATCTCACTGTACTTGAAAACTGTAAATATAAAATATTGGGTAAATTTTTTTGAAGTCAAGGTTTCTGCGAATACTTTATACTTTATATATATTGTATTTATTTATAATTACAATAATTATAATTATAATAATAAATTAATCAATTATTATTATAAAACACTACAGGCTGGGTATAGCATGCTTCATGTTTAATGCTCTGACTGATATTTTTTTCATTTTTGTATACCTTTTCTGTTTGAGTTATAACTTCAGTAACCAAGCACTATAGATGACTGAGAAGAGAACCTAGGCAAATGCTCAGTTGGCAATGAACTCAGGACAATGGAGGCTGGTACTATAGCACAGCATTCAGAGAGGGAAAGCTAAATAATAAAGTTCCTGCTTCTGCTCCGATACTATTGATGTGTAAACTTGAGAATTACAATTTGTATTTTCAAGGCTAAGTTTTATTTTCTAAAATTATAGCAATTAAGCAAAATTATCTCTCAAAATCTAATGTGTAAATTTTCCTTTGGGAAGGCTTTTGTAAATATCATTACTGTTTCAAAAAACTAAAATAACACTGAATATTAAGATCAAAATTACTATAATGTTTGAGCATCGGTGTTTTAGCTAGTCATTTACTTAATTCATGGCTTCCCTGTCATGGTCATTAGGTCATTTCACATTTGTGATATATAAGTTGTTAGGTGTTTGATGTTTCTTTAAAAGCTTCCAGTTTCAATCAAATAAGTCAAGGGTAAAGTTTTATTTGGTCATATTCAGTTATATTTATTTTTCTTAATATACTAATATTTTTATAAATATTATATAACATTTACATATTTTATACACGTTAGTCATTTTATTACGTATTATTTAATGTGGTTTCCTGCGACTGATCTCAACGATTGTTTTGGTTTTCCCCACTGTATGTGCTTCACAGTTCTTGAATAAATTGCTAATAAATCTTTCCATAGATATTCAGTCCCTCTAGGCAAAAAATGATTGTAAATAATTTTCAAATTAAAAGTGGAATAATGTTTAGTTATTATTATTATTATTTTTTACTTTTGAGGAATAGAACCACAGGTCACATAAAATATAGTTTGATAGTAAAACTATAAAAGTATCTTATGCTTTTTTCTTCAGGTGGCAAATAGATTTGTTTAACATAGCTAATAAGCTTAAATTGGAAAACACAGCATCTAGTTCTTTTTCATCAGCTGCTGGTTTTAACATAAAGTAAGGTTCAAATATGTCAGAGCATCTTTACAGGTGGATTTCTTATATTAAACTATTCTGCACTTTCCCAGTCCGTCCACATTGTGAATCATACATCTATAGGTTAGGAAGTTAAGTTACTAAGAAAAAATAATTCTGGAAAACCAACAATGGTAATTTTAAATCATTTATGTATTGACTATGTTTTTACTTATAATAAAAATATAGCATAGGGCTTTTAAAATGAGGCATATAAAAGAATTCAAAACCTTCATTTTCAGGGATCTGTAAATAACAGGTTGTTGCATTCAATGTAGTAAATTTTATGAAGAGTTTTACTTATTCTAATGCAATTATCCATGCTAACAGCTGAAAGATTTAAATTTTCATTTTCAGGAATCTTCTATTTGGTTAGTGCCACCATACCATCCAGACACTGTTTAGTAAACTTTTGAAACTTTCTAAAAGAGGTTTTTAAGATGGTTAGTATCCTCGTCCCTTTCTTTTCGTTTGTGTGGTCTGTTACCTTGATGTGAAGCAGCATTCACTGTTGTTTTCCCTGTAAGGAATTCCCACGCTGAAGGACACCACACCCGGTTTCACCCCCAACCCAGGGGTTGCCAGGCAGCCCCTCGCTGGCTCCCTTGCTCCTTTTCTCTGCCTCCCTTCCCTTCTGCTGTCTGTTTCCTTTCACCTTGCTCTTTCCTGTCACTCTTTCCCCCTCCTCTTTCCTAATGACAGTCTAGGAAAGTCATATTAAGTGCACATGAGTATGTTAAAGACATTTCAAAGGTAAATAAAAGAAAATCCCAATCCATATTTAGAAGTAAGAAAAGCAATTGGTCTCTCTTGAATGATATGAAATTAAAGTTATATTTAAACATCGTAGTAAATTTTTGGCAGCACAAACTAAAAGAATAAAAGCTCATGAAAAACTCTGTGTGATTTTTCTAGAGAAACATAACACATATCTATTTGGGAATTTACAATTCAGACCTGAGGTAGATAAAGAGGGTAAGATGTTAAGAAATGAATAAAACTTAATCAGAACTCTACTTCAAATAAGGTTATCAAATTTATTTGGAGGTTGGAATGAGAAAAAAGAGAAAACCTGTTGTCTTATACTGATTTTATTCATAAACAAAACTGTTTTTCTGGTAATGGCACGCTGATAGGTGAAGAAACCACTAGCAAATTTCAGCTCATTCAGAGAGAAAATTAACAAAATTGGTATTTTAAAATTATATGCTAAAGACTCTGATAAAAGTTTTTTCAATTTTGTACTTGCTTGGGAAATGAGGCTACAACTTACCGTTTATTTTAAGAAATTAAAATGACTGGATATTTTGTATAAACAAGATTTTATCTATGCTTTATATTAACATTATAAATTTGATACTATATGACATTAATCAAATTAGAACTTTTCATACACATCCATGTATAGTCTGAAGCAAGCGCCAAATACCAAGAACTCAATACCTTATTATAAATGAGATAGAATCTTTCCTAATAGAATATGTATGAACATTGATGTTTTTCCCATGAAAACAAGCAACCTAGCCTATTCCTTTAGCACAAAAAAATAATATTTACATTTTGTATTGTTTTAAAAACTATACAATCAAATAGTCTGAGGTTAAGATTGAAAAAGATGTTAAACATTAGCTGATATTTGAAAACTATATTAAGTAAAGCCATCTTTCAAATTATTTACATTCACTTATCATATCAGTTTTAAATGTCAATGGGATCAAGCTTTATCTTTGTCATATTAACTATATTTTATTAATCAATTCTTCTATTAAATGTTTCAACAGAGAGTCAAGACTATCTTACCTCAAGACAATGTATTCCTCCCCCTTTTGGAGTCAGATTTTTCCATTTCTACCGTGTTGTCATCATCACCATCTTCATCATCATTATCATCATGTTGTTAATAAATACATCTAATAGAAGGTATTAAGCAATAAGCAACAGCGTTCCAATGTACCAGCTGGCAGTGGCATGTAGAGCCTTAAATTAAAATATGTCGTAAACATCAAAAGCTATAATTTCATACACAATACATAATTTCCAGGCAACAATTTTGTAATTCACAGGGAACTGATGACCACCATCTAATCTTCACCCATTACAAGTGCTAATACATTAATTGTTTTACTATTTCAAAGTTACTAAAGTCTTAAATATTTTCAATGTGTTTTATGAAGCTTCTAAGATGCAAACAAACCTTTATGCAATGCACTTAGAGGCACGATAAAATAAAAATAAAACACTGGAGTCATGCACAGCTATAGTTAATTGGGTTGCTGTTTGAACAGCATATATGGTCATAAGCAACAAGAACTCAATCTCTTTGTTCTTCATCGAGAGTGGAACACCGAAAACTCAGAGGCTAGAGATAAAAAAAAATGACAAGGTAGCACACTGAGGGAATAAAACTAAATAGAATGAAGATAAAGTAGCCTGTAGAAGAAGTTTCTGAATGAAACTTTAGTTGTACACTGAAGCAATAAATAGAGTCACACTAAGCTTTAAAGGGCTCAGCCCAGCAAGTATCAGGACAAGAAGTCAGAGAGGATGGGGATGAACACCAAAGCAGAGAGGGATGTGTGAAGAAAAGAGAAAGAATATGGAAAGGTAGTAGGAATATAGGTAATGACAAGGGGACTGATTCCAAGAGTTTTTGGTGGGAGAAAACAGGGGATACAGATTTGATGTGTTTCTTATATGTTGATAAACATATCTTCTACTACTAAATTCACCTTCAATGATTCAACAACAACAATAAAAAAACCCCACAGGTTTAAAGAACCTTTAGGAAAAGATCAAGATATACCATGAAGTAATAAAACGACATTAGAGCTAGGTCAAAATCATAGAACTATAGACAGGCTGTTTTACTGTGTGTGAGCAGTTGCAAGTCACTTTTTCTCTGAGTGCTTTGCACAGACACAGTGAGGCCTGAATAATTTTTAATGTCATTTTGGGTGTCACAAAAGATTATACATGCAAAATGATTTTAAAACATCAAATACATATGCTATAATTTTTTATCCTGTATCCTAAGATGATAAACTCCAAAGCAACAATGGCTATCAATAGTATGTCTCAAAATATCTACTATTATCTCATCATGTTTCATATCATCTTTTAAAATCTTGTGAATTTTCATGAATGTATACATTTGTATCTTGTGTACATTTTGATTTTTGCCAAGGAGATCCTAATTTCAGTCTCAGATCACTTAAATTTCAACTATTAAGTCGGTTCAGGAATCTGTCCTCTGTGTGTCTTAATCAAGTGAGGAAAGAGAGTAACAAAGTTTTATTTCACAATAATAACTCTAATATGAATAGACAGAACCTGTACTAATGAGCCCTCAATATTCATGTAGAATTAGTGGAAAATTTATTGCCAGTAAGATGAAAATCATAGTTATCCTTTTCTCCTGGGGTAAACTATTTTCGGCTTTCTGTTATGAAGGCATTGATAATGAATTACAGATAATGTTTGTTTAGGTGTTAAAAATTTGACAATTTCTCATTTCATGATTGTATCATGTATGTTTCTAGTCACTGTCAATGTTGTATAGGTATAATAATAGCAAAGCCTGTAATTAAATTCCAGAAATTTTATTTATGTTTTATGTTTGTCTGAGTGCAATTTTTGTTGTTTTGAGTTAAACAGTGGAGAAACAATGTTTAGAGAAAATTTGTGTATCTCACCTTGTAACCCAAAAAGTACATTTTCTATTATATTTAATTAGAAAACACTATTGAGTATCAGGTAGAGATTTGTTTGTGTTTAAATTCTAAGGTAGATATCAACATAATACTAATCAAATTTACATAGCATCATAAGAATATCCAATTCAATCTATTTTAATAACAGAAATTATTAATGGAGAGATTATTTTACTATCAGGTGGCAAATTTCTTTAAACTAGCCAAATGATGTAATGCTCTCATTCCATGTGTCTTCTATTAAAATGTAATAATTTGTTTTAATCATCATGAAATAGTCTAAATGTTTTAGGCTGGCAGGCAGGCCAGTCTGTGAGAATGACTGTAATATTATGTCCATCTGTCACTTTTATAATGTCCAATCTCTCTGTGTTCTTCTGTAGAGGTCCTTCTGTAGTGCTATGGTGGAAGAACTGAGAATGTCCCTGAAGTGCCAGCGTCGGCTAAAACATAAGCCACAGGCCCCAGTCATTGTGAAAACAGAAGAAGTTATCAACATGCACACATTTAACGACAGAAGGTTGCCAGGTAAAGAAACCATGGCATGAAGCTGGGAGGCCAGCCACCCAAGCACAAACTGTCGTCTTTTTTTTTTCCAAACAATATAGCGAGAATGTTTCCTGTGGAAATATGCAACCTGTGCAAAATAAAATGAGTTACCTCATGCCGCTGTGTCTATGAACTAGAGACTCTGTGATCTGAGCAGTTGCAGTGATCAGACTTGACTTACAAGCACCATGGATCAACCAAGTTACACGGGGTTACACTGTTTATCATGGGTTCCTCCCTTCTTTTGAGTGAATGTTACATGCGAATGTTGTGGCTGGTTTCAAATGCAGTCCAGGGAGAAACCACAGGTTCCTTCTGAAGTTCAACTCTTGCCAGGAGACGGAATGTCGGTGCCCCAAAGGGTAACCAATAAAAATGTTATAAGAATAAAAATGTGTGGAATCAGCAAAAATTGTAGTGTTGCAAGAAACAATACAGTCCCCTGGTCACCAAGACAATAGAAGCGATAGTGTCACTAGCCCCCAGTACTCAGTATAATCGTCATCCAGATAGACAACATGTGCTTACAGAGTGTGAAAGGGTGTAGTGCCAAACACAACAGAATCCCACAGATCTGGAACAGAAAGTAGACAGACCGCCATCCGTTACTTCTCTTTCTTTCTTTTTCCTTTTTAATAGTCTGTGTCATGAATTGAGATATAAATGGCAATTATGAAGGCAATAATGTTTTTTCTTAAAATATTCACAGCAAGTACTTTAACAGGTAACCCAATCGGATTCCCACTTACCCCCCCCCCAAAAAAAAAAACCCATACCCTAAACTATACCAGAAAGGAAGAAGCAACCAACGGTTGGTTCAGAGACTCTGAGTTAAAGGATGATGTTTTGCCATCTTAATCATATATTGTGAAACAGGACTCAGTGTTGCTGGTGATGTGGAAGCCTGGAGATTTCATTCTGACATTCTGTATTGCCTGTTGAAACTCTCATTCCTGATCTAAAGACCTTGATGGAGCCTGGGCAGATCTCACTGACAGAGAATGGGAATATGTCACCTATAGAGAAGTACTGATAGAACTTTGGGGTGGACTGCATTTAACAAGAGTCACAATGTTAAAAGAACAAAATTCTTGAGCAGTTTTTTTTTTTCAAAAAATGTTCAGGTTTATTTGTGGAAATGCAAGATTTCTATGAAAATAGTTTTTGTATGGAAATTTTTGTAATACTTTTTATCAACAAAATAAGAACATGTGTTCCTGTCAGGGGTGTGATGTCAAGCATGAATGGTAGTGCGTGTGCACCACCAACGTTTGGTGAAAACTATTTTTATCACGAAAAAGGAATCATAGAAGAGAACTATTTTCCAGTTAGATAATATAAAGCTAGGTGCACTACCACCACTGCTTACCGCGCCACACCCCTGGCTCCCACGAGGCGGGTAGCATACTGTAACGAACGATTGTGTGTAAATGGTAAAAAGACACAGATCTCGATAACATTGTGAAAACAGTTGAGTGCACACAGTTTGCTGTTTGAATCCAATGCACAAAATTTTAAAAAATCCATTAAAATTATGTCCATTTTACTTTCAGCTTTGGTTTTGATTTTCTCTTGCATGTGTAAATGGATGAAACATATGCTTTTGTATAGGAAGTGTACATCAGGAATTCTTAGGGTTTCAAAGTTAGTATCTTCTAAACTTCCCACAAAAAGGAAATGGCCAGTGTGAAGTTGCTGCCCCGCCCCCTCTCACACACACACACACACACACACACACACACACACACACACACACACACACACTGTTTTTAGACTTAGGGTAACTGGAATGAGAAAAACCATGGTTGTGGAGACGCAACCTTGTTTTATCTCATTTTTAATTGGAAATTGACTACATTAATTGTTCTGCATTGTGCTTTGTAATGATCACTTACCTATTTGAAGTTCCACTCATATCTAATTTATAAATTTGTTCTGCATTGACAATTCAATAAAGTTCACGAGAGGAACAATGAGAGACAGTTTCAGTATTAATATTAGTAATTTTATATCTTAACACATTAGTACAAACTGTAAAACACAAAGTATAACAGATTTATGCTTTGAAAAACAAATCTGTAAGATTAAATTGATTTCCCTGATTAATTAATTCTAAACATGAAATTATAACCTGAGTCTTTGACAGAAAACCATTGGCAAAATTTCATGAAATATTTCTTAAAATACTCATAGTTACATAATCAAATTGTCACAATTTAATTAATATGTATACATGTGAGTACTTTAAATATTTTTGTACTAACATTATTATTATATTCCACTTACTATTTTGTTCATGTTACAATTTTAGAGTCATACAAATCACTGCTAAAAATTTCAGTACTGGTATGTTTACTGATAAACAAGTTCAAATAACATAAACAAAAGTATTTTTAAAAAACAAATTTTAATTATTTTGAAAATGTTAATTATTACAGTAAAAACTTCAATATTAATATCATAGGGAAATTCCATGAATATATAGAATCTCACATGTAGAATTTGCACATTCAATTAAAAACTGGATCAAAAACGATCACTTGAAACAGTTCATTAAATAAAAAAGAACTCTCACCAGACATTTTTTAAACATGCTTTAAAGAAATAATTCTAAACATTTTTGATAATCTCATATGTGTGGATAATGTTAATTTTTAAATCAGATTTTAATTTGACTTTAAAGTGCTTTATAAACTTCAAATTATCACTATGTTTACT